TGTGGGTGGCTCACCGTGCCGCGTGAGCCGGGCGCCGCCGACCTAGGCGCAGCTGCTACTGCCGGGTCCAGTCGACGTTGAGGCCCAGCGCGGCGCTGAGGACCCGTGCGTCGCACTTGTGGCTGCGGAAGGACTCCAGGAAGAGGTGGCAGGTCTGCGGGTCGTGCCGAAACGGGTCGAGCGCGCCCTTGCTGCCGGGCACAGACTGCCGCTTGGCGAAAGCGTGCCAGGTGCCAGTGAACATCGGCCCTAGTGTGACTTGGAGTCGTCGCATCGCTTCGCCGGGCGTCTCCCCGGGGAGGTCCCACTGGATGTTGTTGATTCCTGTTTTGTACATCTGCTGCCCCGTGCGTGGGGGTCTTTGGGCTCTGGCCATTGCCGCGGGCCGGGCCTCTGGTGTGACCGTGTATGCGATCGCGACAGCTGCAGCTGGGGGGCTGGCTATCTTCTCGCGACAGCTCCAGCTGCACGCCTAGCAGGACCCCGTGGGGAACCGCAGGCCTCAAGGTTGGCCGCCAGGCTGGCGCGGCGCGGGGGGAACTGCTCACAATTGGGAGGCGTGTGTCAGGATGGGATTGGCGCCCGTGTCCTGCAGTAAAAGTGCCATGCGCAGTACTGAGCGCCAGCGCATCGTGGCCCGAGTCGTCTGCCTCAGCCTCAGCCTGGGGATGCTCTCCTTGCACGGCGCGGGGGGAACATGGCACAACCTGTGGGTTGCGCCCATGTCCTGCTGTAAGAGTGTCCTGCGCAGTAGGAGGAGGAGGAGGAGGAGGAGGAGGAGGAGGAGGAGGAGGAGGAGGAGGAGGAGGAGAGGAGGAGGCGCAGCCGATAGCCGCAAGATCAGGTAAATTGAAGGAGGGGAGGGGATCGGCGATGTATCCTCGCGCGGTGCAAGTCGAGTCGTCTTGGATGGCTCTTTCCTCGTCAACGTCGTCGACGTCGGCGTCGTCGGCGTCGGCGTCAGCGTCGGCGTCGTCGTCGGCTTCGGCGTCGGCTTCGCCTGAGGCGAGATATGGGTTGTGCCCATGTCCTGCAGTGAGAGTGCCCTGCGCATGAGCCGTACACTGGTCACTGTATGTTGCCTCCTCTCGAGGGTCGTTCGCGTGAGCCGCGCCCTGGAAACTGCATCCCAGAGGACAGCTGGCGCACAGGTTGCACTGTGGGGGGAATCCCGCGGCTTCCGCGGCCTCCGCCGTCTTCGCCGTTATGTCCCCCTCCATTCCTCTGTTTTGCTGGTGCAGAAAACTGCTGACGGACGGTTTGACCAGAGGGGGGTACTCCGCGTCTTCCGCAGCCGCCGCAGTGACTTCCCGTTCCTTTCCTCTGGCCTGCTGGTGCAGCTGAAGGGGGGGAACGTTCGTGTGAGCTGTGCACTGGTCACTGCTGGCAACCTCCTCTCGATTCCCCACCGGGGCACCATCGTCTGACCGCGAAGTGGAGGGTGGCATCGCGGCGTCTGCCTCAATCGCACGTCGATTCCATTCTGGAACGTTGTCTTCAGTCGACGAAGCGGGGGGAGGCAGGCTGCCGCTGCTGCTGCTGCAGCAGCAGCTGCAGCAGCTGTGGCGCAGCCGATCACTGTCAGGGGACGGAGGGCGAATAGGCGCGAAGAGATTTCTCTCGACGAGCCGGCGTATGGCTTCGGTGTCCCGCGTCTGGGTGGCAGCTCTGTGGTCTCCCTGCAGAGTGTCTGGCTCCCCCAGAGGACTGCTGGCGGGCTGATTATCCAGAGGGGGATGTTCCGCGGCTTCCACGGCCTCCGCCGCCTCCCCCGAAACTTCCCCCTCCTTTCCTCTGGCCTGTTGGCCCTGCTGGAGGGGGGGGTCGTTGGTGGCCTCAGCCTCAGCCTGGGGATGCTCTCCTTGCACGGCGCGGGGGGAACATGGCACAACCTGTGGGTTGTGCCCATGCCCTGCTGAGAGAGTGCCCTGCGCAGTAGGGGGAGGAGGAGAAGAGGAGGCGCAGCCGATAGCCGCAAGATCTGGTAAATTGACGGAGGAGAGGGAAGGGTCGGCGATGTGTGCTCGCATGGGGGAGGTCGAGTCTCCGTGGAGGTCGTGGTCGTCGCGGTCGTCTTCGTAGCCGTCGTGGTCGTGGTCGGCGCCGACGTGGTCGTGAACGTGGACCTCCGCGAGGCCGAGCGGGTCCCAGTTGCCGACGGGCGCCTGCACGCACAGCTCGCTCTCGAGGGCGCGCAGCGGCGACTCCGTGCAGGTCGCCCAGTCGCCCCAGGCGGAGCCCGTGAGGACGCCCTGGAAGAACATCCCGATGATGGCCGTCATGGCCAGGCGGCCTTCGGCCAGCTCCACGCTCAGGGACCGCTTGTTCTTCTCAGGGTCCTCGATGCCGTCCCCCTTGATCCCGTTGAGGGCCCCGAATGCAAGCCCACGCAGGCGACACCTCCCGGCCACCGGAGGAACTCCGGGGCGATGTACCCCCCGGCAGCCAACATGGCGACGCGGCCGTGCTTGCTCTCGGTGCACCTCCTCCTGTAGGAGACATCCGCGTCACAGTCCTGCGCAAGGCCGAGCGGGTCCCAGTAGCCGACGGGCGCCGGCACGCCCAACGCGCCCTCGAAGGCGCGCAGCGGGGAGCCAGCTGCTCCACGGCCAGCTGCCACTGCCTCCGCCTGCGGCGGCGGCGGCCCGCCCGAGGCGGCCGCGGCGGCGGAGGCGGCGGCGGCGGCCGCGGCGGACGCGGCGTCACCGTGTGTCGTGAAGTCAGCGGGGTCCCAGAAGCACCCAGGCACCTGTACGTCCGACTCGCTCACGAAGGCGCGCAGCGGGGAGTCCGTGTACAGCGCCCAGTCGCCCCACGCGCCGCCCGCGAGGCCGTCCTCGTAGGACATCCCGGTGGTCGCCATCCTCGCCAGCCATCCGTTCGCGACCCCGGCGATCAGCATGCGGAGCGCGGTCCCGTCGGCCGGGGCGCCACCAGCGTCACGGCCAGCGGCCGCCGCCAGCGGCCCGCCAGAGGCGGCCGCGGCGGCGGCGGCGGCAGCGCCGGCCGCGGCGGGGGCACCAGCTGGCGCGGCGGCGCCCGAGGCCGCGGCGGCCACGGCGGCGGCCGCCGCTCCCGCGGCGGCCGCGGCCGCAGCGGCCGGCCCAAGCGCAGCGGCGCGCGCCACGGCGCCGGCGGCCGCGCCGGCCTCGCCGCGGCCGGCCGCCGCCCACGGCCGCGGCGGCGGCAGCGGCGGCGGCGGCCGCGGCGGCGCCGCCGCAGGCCACGCCAAGGCCGCCAGGGGCCGAGAAAGGCCGCGGCGGCGGCCGGCCGGGCTGGCCGCGGCGGCGGCGCGGCCAGCGGCAGAGCGCCGCTGCCGCCGCCGCAGCGCCGAGCGCGACAACATGGCAGAGCGAGCGGGGGCGCGGAGGGGGGCGACCCCCTCGCACGCCCCCGCGGGCAAGGACGCCGAGGCCCGGAGGGCAGGGGCCCGCCCAGCCGCTGAAGCCCGCTTGAGCCAGAGCGGCTTGAGCCAGACGGCTACGGACGCTGATGGGGATGCGCGAAGCGTCAAGAATTCGTCGCACTGCACGTTGGGCTCGACATGGCTCGGGGCGGGGGGGCTATAGCAGAGAGGGGGGGGGTAGAGAGCCGGCTGCGTGCAGCTGGTCTTCCAGGCGCCTCCCCGGCGACGGAGGCTGTATCGAGAAAGCGTCGACGGCGGGGCCCCATTCAGCTGCACGCGGCAGATTTCGCAGCTTCCTTTCTCAATCCCCCCCTCTCGTCGGGCCCGAGAATTCGAATAGCGGATCGACTACAAGCTTGATTTACCCAAAAAACAAAATTGTCGTCGAATATACGGGAAAGACGTGTAATGTTCGTAGATCTTCGCGCAGTCTACGTATTTCTATAGATTCGACTGACCCCAGAATTCGGGGTAAATCAGTTATGCGTATGTAGTCCATAGCCTACTCGAAGAGTCGAGGGTCGAAGGAAGAGAACGATAATGATGATGATGATGAAGATGAGGAGGAGGAGGAGGAGGAGGAGGAGGAGGAGGAGGAGGAGGCGGAGGCGGACCAAGCGTTGCATGATGTGTTCCTGTGTCTGCGGACTCCGACTGGGTGGTGCTGGGGCCCCTGTCTGAAGAGGGCGAGGCCCGACAGCTAATTACGCCACCAGTCGAGCCCACAAGCCGGATATCCTGATCCTACACGGGCGGGCGAAAAAACACCTCCGCCCACGCCGCCTAGACGTTCAAAGGCGGGCCCGCAAACCGAGCCGTCTGGAGGTGCTCCCCAGGGGGAATTCGGCGGCGGCCCGCACGGCTTCGCAAATTCCCCGGAGGCGTATTGGGGTAGTAGGCGGGAGCCTAAGGGCAACGCGAGCAATCCTGCGGATATGGAAAGTTGCGACCACTCTCCTGATGCCCGTGAGGGAGGGATCCAACAGGGCGTTGTTGGCAGCTGTGCGCTCTTGTAAGGGTCTCCCCCCGGTCAAAGACCAGCACGCGTTATATTGAGACCATGGTGCGTACCTATGAGACCGCTCTCGCGGGATTCCCCACTAAGCGGCAGATGGCCGCCAGCGTCGCCATGACCGTGCAAAGCGCGCGGCAGGCGATGAGGGACACCCACAAGGTCCGGCTTCAATCCCACCTCTACCGCTCCCTCGCCTCCTCGCTCTTCCCCGACGAGTGCGCCACACTTCTCTCCACCCGCTCCCGAGAATGGTGCGCCTCGCCTGGAGAGCTGCTGCCCGACCTTGTATTGTCTTTCCTGGAGAAGCCCTCCGAGCTCAGCTCCGCAAGGTCCCCGTCGCATAGGCTTTCGCATGCCTCCGCACGTGGTGCGGAAACTGTGCCACCGAGCACATGCTCCAGCAATAATCGCACACCTGCGTCTTCGGGTGCAGCGCATGGGACGACTTGAGACATTACCATACAAGAGGAGGAGGAGCAGGAGGAGGACGAGGAGGAGGCGGAGGCGGAGGAGGAAGAGGGAGGGAGGAAATGGAGGGAGGGAGGCCGAAGAGGAAGACCCCCCCGCCGCCCGAGGGTCCTTGAGCAGCCCCGCCTTCAGGCCCTCTCGCACCAGCCGCCGCCCCAGGTCGTCGTGGTCTCCCGCCAGAGAAGCCAGGCGCCAGTGCCCCAGCAGCGGTCCGTGGAACGCCACCGCCATGCCGAGCGCGTCCGCCAGCCCAGCGCGCCCCCCGTGGTCCTGGGGCAATGCCAAAAAGGGGATCACCACTGAGCCCAGACCCCCTCGCGTCGTGGAGGGGTCCTGACGAGAGGTTCTTCAATGTTCTCGGCCTCATTGGGCCTTTGCACTGGGCCTCGGGACCGTCAACAAAACTACTCAGCGAAAAGCCAGTCCCGAAGGATTGGTCGAGACCTCTGACTTGAAAAGATCATAGCGTCGGGAGTATGGGTGGACGGTGGACGGTCGCCACGTCCTCGCGAAGGCGCCCTTTCCTCGAGGAAGTGGTGACCCCCCTAGGGCCTTAGGGCACTCCAGGGCCGTCCAGAACTACCCCGCAGACGTCCAGAGACATCCTCGGGCTTCGATCCTGGTGCTTCGATTTGCAAGGCGAGCTGGTGACCCCCGTTGTGGTGATCCCCGTTGGGACAAGCGCGTTCCACGAATCACTCGCAAAGTAACTACTCGCAAATGGCCTGGATCCGCCGCGAGGAACTTACGACCCATGATATAGAGGAGCACGTGATTCTTCTGATGATTGCAAATGGGCACTTTGCGAGTAATGGAACACGCTCGGTGACCCGTGGCACTGACCGAGGTCCAGCAGCCCGGCCGTGAACGCGGAGAGGCGCGGGGCGGCCTTCAGGGGAAGAGCAGAGGGGCGCAAGCATACACCGTCGGAGCTCCTGCGAGGGCTTCTCTCGGATCGGCGGTTCGGACCCCCCCTAATGCGGCGCGCGGAGCGCCCCAGGGGGGCGCCGGAGGCGCCGCCAGGGGGGCCCAGGCGACGACCCAAGACAAGACATCCGCGAGGAGCTCCGAATGTATATGTTTTTAATGCCGCTTTCTGCTTTCCACGAGGAGACTGATGTCATGATGCGGTTGGCTCAGGATGCGTCTCAGGAGTTCTAGAACGTATCTAGCGGCCCTCGTTTCCGCAGCCCCTGCCGAAAAGTAGGACATCATGGAAATCTGGGAGATCCTGAAACGGACCATTATCATGACTTCTTGCTCTTCTGGGCCTCGGCCGGGCCCGTGGCGGCCACCAGCGCTGGCAACACCCGCGCGATGCAGACCTGCCGGTCCGCGGTCGCAGAGGCCGGCTGCATGGCAGAGGCGGCCGCCTCCCACGCGGCGTCCAGCACCTCAGAGGAAGAACATTACGGAGTAAGTCTCAGGCTTTCGGAGCTCCGCGCGGATTTCCCGGATCGGCGCTGGACCCCCCTCCCTGGCGCGCGGAGCGCGCCAGGCGCTGCGCCAGAGGCGCCGCCAGGGGCCCAGCGCAGATCCATGATGAACGAACACACACACATCCATATCCAAGGGGGCGTCGGAGGGAGGGGGACTGGCTATGGGTATGAGTGCGGGCTGTCGGTGCACGCAATAGTAGCTCCCTCCGTCCCCCATATGGATATGGGCGCGTGCCGCGTGTTGTTTGTTCAACAAGAAATCCACGCGAGCTTCGGGAATACAGCTGGCTCACACAAAACGGGTACCCAACAGCAACTATTCGTCCACAGCCGACAGCGGCCGCTGTTCCACAGGCGACGGACCACGCCCGCGGCGAGGCCGACAGCGAGTCCTGTTCAACACGGGCAAGAACTACTGTAGGTCTTCGTTCCCTTTCTTCCCGTACCCGTTACGATCGTACCGCTTCCTACTCATGTCGTGCCGAGCACTCTGTCGCCTTCGCGGACTGTCGTATTGAACGACCAGATCTGCCGAAGTATCGAGAGACTACATCTGCTGCCGGTCTTCCATCGTGCCGACTCCCGCTCGTGCCGTTGTTTCCTCTCCAGCACCTGGCCGCCCGGGTGCCTCGCCAGCAACGCGCCCGCGACACGCGACAGGGCGAGCACGGTCACCCTGCCATCCTCTGCGCCCTCCTCGGAAGGGGCCCAGGGAGACACGGACAAATAGACACCACGGCTCTAGTGCTCCTCATATTTCTACATCTGTTGTGGACTTTCGTTGCCCCCCTCACTGCCCAAGTCTTGCCATCTTCCCCTGGGCACTGTGGCACTGACGTCTCGTTACTTTTTGTCCGTCGTGATCCTCGCCGCCGCCCGCCGCGCCCGCGGCCTGGCCCTCCGCTGGCTGCAGGCTGCGCAGCCAGGCGGCCGCCTGCGCCTCGTCGGGCAGCACCTGCACCTGAGGGGCAGCGACGGGAAGGCAACCCGAGGCCAGGACGAGGCAACATCCGGGTGAGGACAAATCGAGAGACTCTGAGATCCAGCGGCCCTGGAGGATGTCTCGGCCGCCGCGGCCTTCTCGGGGCATTCCAGAACGCTCTGAGAGCGTTCTGGAAAGCTCTGGAACGGATTTACCATGGTCCTTGCCCCATTCGACCACGTCATCCTGAACGGCTTTCTGCCGCAACGAATTTATCCGGAAGAACGCTCTTCCGGACAAATTTTCCTGGATGAAGTTGACCAGAGAAACTCGTCTTGATGAACTTGTCTGCGGATGCGTTCGTCTCTACACGAACTCGTCTTCGGATAAAATTGTAATCGGATGAACCTGTATGGAAGAAATTGTCAGGACGAACTCGTCCAAATAAACACGTCTCGGAAGAACTCGTCTGGATGTAACGGCTTCGGATGAAACGGTAGGCTTCGCCCATGAGATGCTGGCGTTGCATTTTTGCTGCACGACGGGCGGTCTCGTCCAGTTTCGGGCCCCCGAACCCTCACGGGTCGATCTGGCCGGAAACATGTCGCAGAATGGGATCCTGTGTTATGGTCGTGATTTGCTCCGATGTTGCAGCTTTTTTGCAACGTCGGATCTCAAGGACTGCCTCAGTGGGGGGGACATCGACCTGGAATCGGCGATACATCGCCGACAGATCGGCGATACGCCCCCGATAGCGAATCCGCGCACGTCTGGGCGGTGGGGCTACCAGGCCACCATCGACGATCCATGGACGGTAGAGGGTCGATGCGTCCCCGCCTGAGCCGATCCCTGTCCACGGTTCTTTGCTGGCCGTGACTCGGCTGCCTGGCGGCCATTCGGGACGATCTGGGCACCCCTAGAACGCGCTCGGCGAGGCGCAGCTGCTGGAGAGCAGCCCGAAGCTGGAAAACCGCCGAGGAGCGACGAATACGTCCGGAAAGCCTGGAATCTCGAACCCGAAATTCCCCCCCCACCCACCCCTGGGACGACGGTCGGGAACGTTTGGATAGCGTGTCGCTCCGCTGGTTCTGGCCCACCACACTTCGGCACGACACGCTAACTATCCACCTCCTGGTCCCCCAAACGTCAACGTCAACGTCCCGAGCTGTTCCGAGCCTCCCACACCGAGCGCACCGACACTCTATCCACTTGTAAAGCATAATTGCAGTGCGGGCGCGGCCGCAAGAAGCCCTCGCAAGAAACCGACCCTGCAAACCCGCTCGCGAGGTGCACCTGAGGAGCACCCTGAACGCATCGGCTTCTTCAAGGGCTGCGGAAGTCACCGCGCAGCGCGCGGAGCGAACGAACCCAGGATACCCTGACGAGAAGCGCATGGCTTCTGCATGCGCGCCCCAGCTGTAGCGCGTCGCCAGGGCCGCCGCGCGACGCGAAAAAGCAGAGGCGCCCCCCCCCCCCCCGGGGGGCCCCTGGGCACCACGGCGGCCGCGAGCCCCTCCGCGACGGGCTGCGGCGCCTCCTGCAGGGCCGCGGGCGCGGCCGCCAGCAGCGCCGCGCGCGCGGGCGCGGGCGGCAGGCTCGGGGCGCCGCCGCCCCCTGCGCCGAGCGCGCGCTGCAGCAGCAGCATGCGGCCCGCGGCGGCGGCGGGCCCGCCGGCGCAGAGCTGGCCGCCGGCGAGGCACCACTCCTGGAGAGCGCTTCGAAGGGGGGGGGGCGGAAAGCCCAGAGCTCCGGGCGCTGCAATTATTTGTTCCAGGGCGGACTGGGTCGGCCCGCTTCGTGCCCAGGGCGTCTCGCAGGTCGATCCGGCTCGAAGAATGGCGCAGGAACGTTGGGTCTAGAGCTCCAGCCGTGCTTCCTCGCGACGCTGCCTTGTCATGCGCAATGTGAGATCTCGAGGAAAAAGGGTACGATGTCGAACGTTCCTTTTTCGTTCGTGCCGGAGCTCCAGCACGCCAGCGCCGTCGGGGGTGGCCCCTGCCGCGCCCTGCCCGGGGCCCGCCGAGCCGCAGCACGCGAGGAGCAGCCGCAGGGCCTCGGTGGCCAGCTCCAGGCTGCCCAGCAGCGCGTGCAGGCCCGAGGCGTAGGCCTCGAAGGCCTCCAGGGAGGCGGCGACGGCCACGAGGCCGCCGAGCCCAGCTCGCTCATACCCGGCGGCCGCCATGCCCCCCCAGAAAAACAAGAGCCCTGCAGGGCGGAGGGGGGGGGAGACTCGAGACAGAGAAGGCTCCGCGCCGCAGCTCGCACGGCACCCCTTCCCTCGCTCCTCCCCCCTCCCCCCTCCCGCCCACCCTCCCTCACACCCCTCCCTCCCTCCCACCCTCCCCCCCCCCCTCCTCCTCCTCCTCCTCCTCCTCCTCCTCCTCCTCCTCCTCCTCCTCCTCCTCCTCCTCCTCCTCCTCCCCTCCTCCTCCTCCTCCTCCTCCTCCTCCTCCTCCTCCTCCTCCTCTCCTCCTCCTCCTCCTCCCCTCCTCCTCCTCCTCCTCCTCCTCCTCCTCCTCCTCCTCCTCCTGCCTCCTCCCCCTCCCCTGCGCAAGTTCGCCGCGCCTGCTCCCGGAGGCCCACTGTCCGGAACGCCTGCGGAGGGGGAAGGGCTTCTCGGAAGGAGGCTGCCTCTTAGAGGCGCTGGCCCTGCGTCCATAGACAAGGCCCGCGCCTTCAAAGAAGTAAAGGTCTGCACCCCCCCCGCCGCCGCCGGCTTCAGCGGAGGCGGAAAACAGTTGCACGTGATCCTGTGGGGCGCCGCGCCTGCCAGCGACGCCTCCTGTGTTCCAGAGGAGAGCGCCAACCGTCGGAAACAGTGACCCCACGCCGAGGCTACAACACCTCTCTTAGCAACCTGGTGCTAACCCCCCGGAAGCACATCTCCAACACTCCGTCAGGAGTCGTCTTCATGCGCAGCAGTTGTGGGGTGCATTCGGAGACTGGAGCGCACAGGAGGCTCGGCACAACATTCCCTGGAAAGTCCTTGTCCAACGGAGCGAAACACTCCTGGAAATATTCACTCGCGGGCAACACCCGAATGCAAAAGTAGGCCCTGCTGCTTGCTTGGAAGAATGACCCTCCATTGACGCATGGCCCCTCTCATGATAGAAAGCCTGGCATCGACGCTGAAAGGGAGGGTGGACGAGGATAGACGGTTTGCAACCAACAGCACCCCAACGGCACACCCATTCCGTGAAAAGGTATCCAGGGCCACTTGGCAGGCGGCTTACGGATCCACTGTCTCCAGGAAGACCTTGGACGATCGCGCCAGATCAAAAGCCACTTTGTGCAACAGCTCTTGCGGGAACATCCAGGCAAAATTGGGCCCCGCAGGAACCGCGCGGGAGCCCAGGGAGGCCATGGCCTTCTGTCCTGAGGGCCACCTTGGAGCGAGCCGTACGGCACTCATGCCCGACAACTGGCGTCCATGGGCATGCCCCGTCACGGGGCGCTTTCGCCCAAGAGCCGACCGCCTGCTCCACTTGCGGAGTCCGGTTCAGGCCGCGCGTGCCTGGCTGGCCACACCAGGCACCGGGCGCCGGCCGCGATCGGAAGGCCGCCATTGGCACCCGATCCTCGTGCCTGAAGCCAGGATGCCCGTCCATGTTGCTGGACGTGCATGGCCCCCCCCCCCCCAGGAGCTTGGCCCGCCGCCATCGCGGAAGCGGCGGTGCTCAAAATCGACGCTGTCTGGTGGGCACCGTTTAGCTCCTCGCGCCCGGAGAAGCTGCCAGGATGCCCATCCTTGTGGACGGGCAGGCATGGGGACCCTGCCCTCACGAGGAGGGCTTCGCTGGGCACGCAAGCACGTTGGCCCGCCCCGAAGGCTGCGAGACAGCCAAATTGCCGCTGCGGGCGCGGCATACTTCGTAGGATACTTCGTGACACGGCCTGAGCACGCAGCTGTCTTTGTTGGCCAGTCCAGGCGGAAGCAGGTGGGTGGTATGTGTGGCAATCGCACGCTGGGGTCCGTTACCTGGCAGACTGGCATCAG